GCCTGTCTCTTTTCTGGTATCTCTACTTTCTTTTGCATGGTATTAGTTTGAAAAAATACCACCTGTGTTCCTAAGGTGTCCATTTCTTTTTTACCCAGGATTCCCAAATCTTTAGCAACACTTTCTATGCTCTTTCTGCTGGTAACATTTGTCTCTAGGTGAATCACAAGGTGTATAGTAGCAGTCAGGTTTGACAAATCTCAGAAGTTCCTGGGAAAACAATCTACTTCTATTGTTTCTGTTAGGTTAAAATATGACCTTCCAATAGTGAGTCACCAACTGTGACTGTGAAGAGTGATGGATTTTGAGGCAGAAGAACTGAGTTCAGATCTGGACTTTCTGCCCTTGTCACCTTGGGGAGGTCACTTCATATCTCTTAGCTTTAGTTTCCTCATTTGCAAAATAAGGGGTATTATTTTAGATCAGTGGTGTCAGATTCAAATAGAAACTGGGGGCACTAATTCATATGCAGGGAAACCTGGGGGAGACAGATTGAGTTAGGCAACCACGAATTACTATTAGCTATGTTTCATTGATTTTTTTAAAAATTACTTTTATAAAATATTTTTCCAATTGCATTTTTATCTGGTACTGGCCTGCCCAAATGTTTGACGTCTCTGGTCTAGATGACCTCTGAGGTCCATTCCAGATCTAAAGCTATATATTAGCATATGTTTAATTGGCCAATACTGAATGAACTGTCTCCTGGGAGCACCTGAGCATCCATATCATCACTCTTTGGAGAAAGAGGAGCTGCTTTCTCCCAAGAGGTCTCAGCTGTCCTGTATACAAGAAGAGCTTCATACATGTTATAAAAACAAAATATTCAGGGCTAGTCTTCCATTTCTGTGTCATATTCTTCTCCTTTCTGACCTCCTGACATACATTTTGATTCCCATCTGGCCCACCCAGTCCATTCCCTCATTTTTCCTTTGAAAGAATATAAGCTCCTTGAGGGCAGGGACCATTTCAAATTTTATTCAATCTCTCCTGCACTTAGCACAATTCCTGGCACAGAGGTGCTTAATACATGCTTATTGATTAAAGCACTTCTTCCATTGTTTCCAGGAATAATTCACCTCCCTGAGAAGTTGGAGAACAGAAAGCTATTTCTCCATGTTTTTGATGTTCTTTGCATGCATTCTGCCCAGACACAGCTGTTGCTTAGCACCAGCAGGGATGCAAATATAACACATTCTTTTTAGGTCTCTGAAAAATTTCCTTTGCCCTCCATGTCCCTTGGAAGCAAAGTCTTCATTTCTCTTTTGTTCTTTTGGCTAAGTCTCATGGCAAAATTCCACTGCTGCTCACAATGGGCTCTCAAGTGATGCTTTATTAAAGTGGGGCTTCCCTGCCTTTCCTTGCAATAAGATTGCTAGCTCACTTAGCTGTCTTTTGACCTGTAATGACTAGATTCCAACCAAAGGCCTAATGCGAAAGGACACTAGCTGACCTCAGCTGTTATCCACAGCTCTGAAGTCCAATTCCAACCTGAAGTTCTTTCTTATTTCTTCCTTTCTCTCCTCTTGGTTGATAAGATGTCAGACACCTATTGGCATATCGCTTGATTTAGTGCTTATGACCTAAACTGATCCCTTTGCAAGGATTGGTTTATATATAGTTGGTCACTTGAGTTTACTTAGCTGCCTCAGCTCTGTATCAAATACCTAATGCAAATACAAGTCTCCCTCAGCTTTTGCTTGTGAAGTCTTAAGTAGAAGGTTTTAGAGTTCCCAGTATGCAATTGGAAATCAGAGACTAGAGCAACGGTGGGGAACCTAGAACCTTCTAGGTCCTCAAGTGTGGCCCTTTGACTGAATCCAAACATCACAGAACAAATTCCCTTAATAAAAGGCTGTCTTCTATAGAACTTGGACTCAGTCAAAAGGCTGCACCCAAGGACCTAGAAGGCCACATGTGGCCTTGAGCCCACAGGTTCCCCACCCCTGGACTAGAGCTTTAGGGAAAGAGAAGTTATATGAATTGAGTGGATAGCTGCTCAGCTGCATAGCTGAAGCCAAGGGGCAAGAAGAGATGACCAGGGGAGAAGTGGGTCAAAGAACCTTGAGGTACACATGCATTAAGAGTAGGAGGAAGATGAGGAACTGTCTAAGTGAACTGAGAAGTAGCTGTCAGAGAAAAAAGAGGAGATCCTCAAGAATATCATGGAAACCAATCTAGGAAAAAGTGAACACAGACAAAATAACAGAGAGATGGAGGGATGTTGGCTGGGAAATAGAAGTTAACTCTTTTAGGGTTTATGACTATGCTGGAGTGCATTAACAAAACTAGTTTTCTACAAGTACATTATTGAGAGCTGAAAATACTATAGCTAAGAGCTATGTGAATAGCCAATATGGGGCCAAAAGGTGGTCAGGTTTGGACCACTGAGGTTATGGGAATATTAGATTTTTACAGAAGTTTCTACTTACAAGAAGTAGACTTGGCAAGGAAAGGTTGTCCTGGACCGTCAGACCTGATGGCTACCAAACTAAGCCACTGACAAAGGGCATAGGGATTCAAAATATCATGGGTCTTCACTGAAAATGGAAGAGTGGAATTAAGATAAAATCAGCAGAATAATGAATTATTTTCAAAATATGATTCCTTTAGTGAGATCTGATCTCTATATCTATAGCTTTCTTTCTCTATAAATATAGAGATAGATATCCATCTATATAGTTGTATTTTAGCAAGACCTGTGATTTCATTGGTATGAGAAGCTGTCAGTGAGGAAAGCCCTCCTCCCCCATGCAGATCAGCACATGTACTGAAAGGTATACCCTTAGAAAGTTTCCTGAGATAGCTAAGTGGCATGCTAGTGGATAGAGTGTTGACTTGGAATCAGGAAGAACTGGGTACAAATCCAGCCTCAGAACTTTACTAGCTGTGTGACCCTGGGCAAGTCATTTAACATCTGTTTGCCTCAGTTTCCCCAATTGTAAAATGGGGATAGTAATAGCACCTACTCCACAGAGTTGTTGGGAGAATGAAAAGAGGTCATATTTGCAAATTGTTTATCACAGTGTGTGGCAAATAGGTTCATAATATAGATTCATTTCCTTCCTTCCTTCCTTCCTTCCTTCCTTCCTTCCTTCCTTCCTTCCTTCCTTCCTTCCTTCCTCCTTCTTCCTTCCTTCCAACACTAAGAGATTAAATGAGCTGTCCAGGGTCATACAACCCAGAAATTGAACCCAGGTCTGCTTTTACTTGACCATACCACATTCTCTATATCCCTCCATCCCCCTCTCCATTCCTCTCTCCTCCTTTCTCTTTTTATCCCATCTTCTCTTTCTTTTTTTCTCCTTTTTACCTCTTCCTCTTTCCTATTCTCTTCTCTCTCTCTCTTTCTCTATCCTTTCCTTAAGGTTTCAAGGTTTTATCTGGAGACACAGCCCAAGAATTTAGGTTGTTTCATTGATTGGGGTCTTCAGGGTTGCTACAATTTGGTGAAATCCAAAGCCTACCTAGAGGTGGAAGATAGGAATAGGGAGGGGGTGGAACTTGAAGGAACATTCCTTTTAACAACGAAAAGCCAACTCCCTGGGAGGGGAAGCCAGCAATCTGCTCAAAGTAAATGAAGGGAAATTCTTCATTTCTAAATGGTTCATTGACCCATGATAATACAGCCACACAGCAAAAGAAGGATAATTATGTTTTTAAGTATCAGATGCCCTGTGGGTTGAAGCTTCTCTCTTCCTCTCTTGAAAAATGAGCTCAGATTAAACAAATTTTCTTTTTCCTAATTTGCCATTGACATGAATTTCCTTATTATGAGCAAAATTAATTGTTTTTTCCCCTCTTTTCTTTTTTCCCCCTTTCCTTCTCTGCTATGGAAATCAGACTTCCACAACAAACCCCCCACTTTTCCCCTTGGGATTTTATTTCAACCAATAGCATCAGTATGAAGATGCTTTGTACACAGGCAAAACTAGAATATAAATTATTGGAATTTATTTTGCCCTTTGGCAGCTTGGATTCCAGATAGTAGCATGTTCCTTTAGAACAACCAAAGCACACAGAAACAAAACATACCAAGGAAGAAAAAAAAAAAACAACACACACACTCACAGAAGAAACAACTCAAAGCTTTTCTGTCCCAGTGGGACTTGAGAGCTAAACAAATACCAATGTGTGTTATTTTAAAACTAATTTAAAGGGATGGATCCTAATCAAAGTAGCAGAAATAGCATTGATCACTTGCAAAAAAAATAAATATTGATATGTAACTTGTAGGTTATACTAATTACATCCTGACCCTTTCTCTCAAACACTTCAATTTTCCTCAGACTAATAATGCAGATATATTTACTCTGATAAACTTTGAGACTGCATTAAGAAGTTCCCATCTATATAAGTAGACAACCCTTTCCACATACTAATGATTTCACTTCAAATGTCTTGGCTTCCTGGAAATCAGTCTGACACAACCTTTTCGTGAATTGCTTAACTCCTGGTACATTTCTCGGTTACAGATGAGGTAGATGGTACTTTTCTGAAGGTCTGCAGAGTTTCCAACAGTTAAAAAAATAACTACTGTCTTTTGATTACATTCTTCCCCTATTTTCCAAAGGGTTATTGAAATTAAATTTTAATCATGGCAAGCTAACTGGGAGGGAAGTAGCTTCTCCCCACTTTTCTAAGCTAATGCATTAGGATGTCCAGAGGATAGTTGTAGCAGAACTGGGGTTCAGGAGACAGAGGCCTCCATCTTTGACTCTTCCCAGGATCCTCTTGGTGTGCCAAGATACAAAACAAACAAACAAAAAAACCTAACCTCTCTGTGCCTTCCCAGCCTCAGTTCTAAGAAAGAGGGTAGTAATAATAATATTCACTAGGCAGAATATTAACGGTGACTTGGAACTTCTTGGCTTCACTGCATAAAAGCATGGTGTTTTTGTATCCCAAGCTTAACAACATTCTATACATTACTAATGCTGCTCACTAAGAGCTATGTCCATTATGAACAGTGATATACCTTAACACAGTCTGTGACACAGATGTCCTGGTGTGTCCTCTGCGCCCCGTGGAGCGTTTCCGTGACCTGCATCCCAATGAGGTGGCAGATTTGTTTCAGATGGCCCAAAGGGTTGGAAATGTGGTGGAGAAACACTTCCAGGGAACTTCCCTCACATTTTCCTTACAGGTGGGTATGCTGATTGCTTGGATTGTATCTTTCTTTCCTTCCTTTTAAAACTTGGCTGTCTCATTTTTTGACCTTCTTTAACCAATCCATTGCTTCATTTAGTTGACAATATTCATTGATAAGACTCTACTGAGGGGCAGTAGAAATAGGCTGAATTTGGTCCTTAGGACCAACCTCTGTAACTTCCTGTCTGCATAGCTTTGGACAGCTCACTTTGCCCTTCTGGCACTGTTAAAATGAGGAGGTGAAACTAAATGGCTTCTGAGATCCCTTTCAGTGCTAACTCCATGATTCTACATTAGAAATCCAGTGACACTAGTGTTTCAAAAATGACAGGATCACTTCTATCCATCAAGCTCATCTTCACTGAAATATCATGGAAATGTTAGGTGTTTCTGGCAAGGTCTCAATTTTACATCAATGTCAACAGAGCAAAGAAAAGGCTCAACCTAGAATATATCTACACAGCCCAAAAGAATTCTAAAATGAAAGGAAAAAGCAAATCAAAATAAAATTGAGGAGGTGATTTCATGGACATTAATATGCTATAGTGGGGAGGGGGGGAGATAGAGAATTTATTTAAAGGGAATTGTTTGCTTGATGAACTAAGTATTTCATGTTTAAGTTAAGCTAAATTCTTATGTATCCAAAGACTATTCCCTAATTCTCTCCCCAAGACCTTCCAAGACCCCTGAAGCAAATGTTCGTAATATATAATCATCGCAGAAATGTGATTGGACCCAAAAGAAGGATTTTTTTCTTGCTCTCATTCTACTGTATCTTAATGGGTGCAATTTTTTAAAAACCTTTTTTTTTTAAACAAAATGTTTCAATGGTTCTTTGTAGACACAGCCTGTTGTTTCTGTAATATTTCCATTGGGTCTATAGACAGACTAAGTTCAAGTGAACAGGTGAAGAACATTGTAAATGCCTCCTAAGAAATCATCCATTCATTCCTTCAATAAACATTTTGTAAATCCCCCTCCTCTTTTTGTGCAGTGTGAAGGGCTGCATGTTAACCAGCTGCATGTTAACCAGCTCTTCCAGGAGATGACTTAAGCCACTTTTTTGCTTTGATTTCTGAGAGAGCTGGTTCATTCCTGAAATCAGGCGTACATCTGCTTTCAGTTATGCCTAACATATGTAATGGGTTTTGGACTGGCTTGATGCCCAAGCCTGGTTAACGTGTTCCATGGGTTTCTGGGTAGGTCAGAGGTACAGGAACCAGGAGCTGATGGTGCAGTAGGAGTAGGAAGGAGAAGAGGAAAGGGATTGGGAAACTTGATGTGACTTATCCATGCCTTTCTCAAGGTTAGTGATAGGGAAAGAATGGACATTTTTTTTTGGTATAATATGGGAAGTTTGATACCCCTACTTTAGTAATTTACTTAAACCAGTTTCACTATGTAAAAGCTTCAGATAATCAGACATGAATTAAACTGCCTCTGATTCAAGGGACTTGCAAGATGTTTTGCTTCACATCCCCAAATGGTCCTCAGCCTTCCTTTAAAACAATCAAAAGCAGAGCCATGAGTGGAAAGCATGTAGAGGAGCAAGGAAGGGTGATACTTTGTATAATTTATATCATTTTTATGTCTAACTTTTCACTTAGTCTTAGGCAGAAATGGAAAAGTGTCTCTTCTCAAATGCTTGAAGTTGGATGGTGCCCATGAGAGTACTATAAATTAACACACAATGAAATTGGATATAAATTATTAATGAATACTATTTCTGAATAACTATGAGACCTAGACAGTCTACTCCAAACGCAATCCTTTGTTTTTATTTATTTATTTTTGATTACAGGATGGGCCTGAATCTGGACAGACTGTGAAGGTGAGTGCTTATTATATGCATACAAATAAGTAAGGAGGATTATGAGACTTAAGAGATCAAAACTAATCTACAGGATTGTGTTAGCTCATTTGGATTGTGGGGACCCTCTATCCAATATTACTGCAAACACTTAAATTATTAGAATTGTGCAGGCAATATAGTTCAATTCATTTTTTCCCTAATTAAAAGTGTCCATTTTCTCCTCCTTCCTACCACACAACTAAAAAGGGGAAAAAAAGGGTTGGAGAACCCCTTTTAACAAATGCCAATAGTCAAGCAAAATGGAGTCCCACATTGGCCATGTCCATATATATACATGAAGTATGTCAGCTACTATATTATATATATCACATGATATATATCTATGTCTGTCTCTCTGTCTGTCTATCTATCTATCTATCTATCTAATCTATCTATCTATCTATCTATCTATCTATCTAATTCTGTGCCCTAAGTCAATTACTTCTCAGTCAAGAAGTACTTGACATGCTTCATTATGAGTGCTCTGGAATTCTGGATAGGTCATTCCATTGATTAGAGTTCTCAAGTCATTCAAAGTTGATTGTCTTTACAGTATTATTGTAATTGTATAAATTGTTCTCTTGGTTCTGCTTACTTCATTCTGCATCAACTTATCTAAGTCTTTCTTAAGTTTTTTTTTGAACCATCTCTTGTGTCCTTTCTTATAGCACAATCATATTTTTGCATCATAATTTGTTCAGATGTTTCCCAATTGATGACACCCCTTAGTTTCCAACTTTTTGCCACTACAAAAAAGAGCTGCTGCAAGTATTTTGATACATATAGGTTCCTCATTCTCTTATCTCTTTGGGATATAGAAATAAGAGAAGTATTACTAGTAGTAATCAAAGGGTATGTACAGTTTAACTTTTGGAGCATAATTCCACATTACTTTCCACAATGGCTAGACCAATTGATAGCTCCACCAATAAAGCAATGTACCTGTTTTTACCATAGTTCCTCCAACATTTCTCCTCTTTTTTTGAGGGGGTCCAGTTTGCCACTTTGATGGGTATGCAATAGAAACTTGGGCACTTTAATTTACATTTTTCTACTTAATGTTTTGAAGCATTTTTTTTATAAAGCTGCAGATAGCTAGGATTTCCCATTTTGAGAATTTCTTATTCATAACCTTTGATCATTTCTTATTTGGGGAATAGCTCTTATAAATTTGAATTAATTGGTTATATGTCTTAGAAATAAGAACTTTATCAGAGAAAGATTTTTTGTGAATATTTTTTTCCTCAGTTAATGGTTTCCCTTCAAATTTTAATCTACATTTATTTTGTTTGAACATAAACTGTTACATTTTGTGCAATTGAAACAGTCTACATTAACATTTGTTCTTCTCTATCCCTTGCTTGGTCATGAACCCCTCTCCTATCCATAGATCAGAAAGGAGATTCCTTGTTCTTCTAATTTGTTTATGATATGATTTTTATATCTAGGTCCTATCCATTTGGAGTATATAGTATAAGATGTAACCCTAACTGACAATATGATGTCCATTTCTTTGCCACATTTCATCTTCTGATAATCTGAAAAAGTTGCCTTTCCTTTCTTAAATAAGCATGTAAAGCAAACCCAACTAAACATTTCCATGTGGGATAGTCAGTCAGGCAACATACATTTATTTATTGTCTGCTACATGCCAGGCACTGAGCTAAGGGCTGAGGATATAAAGAAAGGCAAAAGACAGACCTTGTCATAGGGTAGCTGGTAGTCTAATAGGGGTGACAACACACACACACAGACACGTACACACACACACAACGATAACAACAGCAGCAACAACAACAAAACCTAGGTACAAACAAGATATATACAGTTAAATTGGAGATAATTAAAGGAAGGCATTGCCAGTTTAGCCAGCCCTCAACTTCTATTTTATCCTCATACTAATAAATCAGTAGCCAATCTTTATGTCATTAAGAAGCCTAATGATTTATTGGTATGCGGATGAACATGGAAGCTGAGGGTTGGCTCTCCTTCACCTGTACAGCATTGGTTTTCAGGGCTATTACTATGGCAAGATGACTAGGGTTTGCTCTGGGCCCTTCACAGCATGTGTGCTAGTTCAAAGGTAGAAAAAAAAATTAAACTTAGCACCAATTAGTAAGGGTTAAGAAAGGTAGCAGATACCCCATTTCTTTTGTGCAAATGATGTCATCCCTGTGCAGCTCTTCCCTCCTCCCGGAATCCTTCATCAAGTTGAATTTATTTACACATATTTGAAGGAGCCTTTTCTGTTGTTTGCCCTGAGGCACATTTTGGACAAGTTGGCTCAGTTACCAGAATTACAAGGTATAGCTCTGTTGGCTTCCCAACAATTATTAGTAATCTATGAATTCTATGACTAATCTATGTTGTGTATGGATAAAGAGCTAGCCTCAAAGACAAAGGACCTTCGGTTTGAGTACAATCTATGACACAAGTTTTTTGACCTGGGACAAATCACTTCACATGTCATTGCTGAGGCAATTCTCTGAGACTATAAGTTGCACTTCAGGTAAAGATTACATTGATTACATTGATCCTGATCCTCATTGAACTTTCAATAATAATGATGATGATGATAATGAGTATCTATATAGTGCTTTAAGATTTGCTAAGTACTTTAGAAATATGATCTCATTTGGTCCTCACAACAACCCTGAAAGTAGGTACAATTGTTATCCCCATTTTACAGATGGGAAAAACAGACACAGGGAGAGATTAAAAAAACTTCCAGGTTAAGTTTCTGAGGGCAGATTTGAATTCAGGCATTCCTGACTCTAGACCCAGTGCTCCATCCCCTTAGCCATCTCATTGACTCCATACCAATGAAATCACAAGTCTAGTCCCCCTAAAACAATAATTAAAATTTAAAAAAATATGGCTTCTTCTATTCATGAATAAACATATTCCAGGTCTTTTATCTCTTTTCTTCACCCCCCTCCTTTCCTCCTTCTCCTGTCTCTTCCCCTGGTCCTCTTCCTTACTGAAGTTCAAGGCTGATGGAGCCAGTGAAGCTTAAAACTAGTACTAGTAGGGGAAAAGGGAGGATTTATTGGGATATTCTCCACTTGCCTAGTTTTAGAAAAATAAGATAAAATGAAGTATGAATTTGCAGCTATGTTTCACTTCCTGAGGTACAAATGCAAATTCCTGGGTAGTTAGATTCTGTGCTTCCATATTAGATAAAGGCTATTTTTTTCCATGCTGAAAATCAAAGGAAAGCTGAGCCATAGTTAGAGTTTTATGTTTTGTAAAATAAGATTAGCTGGTTACAAGAAGCCATTGAGTGGATTAAGATAACACTCAGCACTAAATGATGGCAACCAAAAAAAAAAGCGAAAAACAAAACTCTCCCCCTTTTTTTTTCTAATCTGCAGCATTGACCTTAGTCTAGATGTGGCTTTTACTGCTTGAGACAAATGCCTAGCAGAGTTTTAAAAAAAAAGAAAGAGGCCTCAGGGAAGATGGGGAAATGTGTGATACAGAAGGCAATTTACTGTAAGGGCTGACACTGAACAGGTCAGCAGACTCTTGCTGGGGAAAAGGATTGACTGCCAGATTGTGGGGGGTAGGGGGTGGCGCACGGGGGAGAAATATGATGGGAACAGGTGAAAATGATATTCTTTCATCATGGCTTCCTAAACAATATTTTGACTTTAGCAGAGTAAATAAATTAGTTGCTGGAGTGAAACATTTGCCTTTTTAATTCCAAGGGTGGATAGTTGGGAATCTTTTTTTTTTGTCAAATAATATTTAGATAAAATCAGTATTCATAGGGAGTTACTGGGAGGGGAGGGAGAATGTCTTTCATACCCATTAGCATGGAATATTAGGAATTAACCTTTAGTATTCAATTGGGAAGGCAAGATGAGTATCTACTGGGGATGGGTCATTTGGTTTATTTGAAAAAATAAGCAGGAGTGGTGGGGGTGGGATAAGTGAAATCACAGTAACAACTTAATGAATATCCTTTGCTTAACTGATGTGGCTTGTATAAGGTGATGGTTTAATAGTGCAACTAATCCAAATTCATGGACGCTCTTTGGCATGAGGAATTGAGGGCAGTGATATTTTTAAAGATGCGTCTGAAGAACATATAAGCTGGATCCTTTCCCTATCTTTATGTGAGAGATGCTCTGAACATAAATACTCAGGAAGATAAGAATGTTTTAACAGGAAGGAAGATGCTTAGAGAAGAAATAATCCAATCATTTCAGTTTACATTGAGAGAGAGAGCACCTCTGTGCCCTGATGAAGGTAAAAGAAAGACCAGGGAGATTTTACTGCTAATAGACATAAATCATTGATGCAGGAGAGTAGACCAGGAATGTAGAGGCCCTGGCCCTTCCCTCTCTATCTAGCTTTTATTCTTATTTCCAGTTCAAAGATGATCTTGGGAGTGAGGCTTATCCTGATACCACAGCCTCCACATGGTTTCTGTGATTCGTGTTATTTTGTTTGGTTTTATTTGATTTGAGCTGAGTTCCCAAAGGATATAATATCCACTTAAAGATGAAACTGGAGTTACAAGGACTTTCTTAAATCAGTTGTACAGGGCCATGGAATTTGAATCAGTCAGCACCAGACACAAGTGTTTAACAAAATAAACTTCAGCTTGCTTTTATTGGCAGCTGCCAGGCTGAGTGTGGTGTGGTTCCTGGACTTCAGCTATGCAAAGAGAACTTCAGCTCTCCTTGCCAAGGGAGAAGCTTTCTAAGAACTATATCTTTATAGTTAAAGTTAGTCAAAGGATCATAAATTTAAGGATGGCAGACCTCATAGGCCATTTCATCCAATCCTCTCAATTTATGGGTGACAAAACTGGGGCCCAGAATGGCTAGTACGAAGTCACACAAGTAGTAAATGACCAAGGCAGGCTTTGGACTAAAGGCCACTGACTCCCAAATTATTTTTTTTCCCACCTGTCAGTTAATCCTGTCCTATGCCAAATAATAAGCACTTATTAAGCACCTATATGTCAG